TAATATATTTAAATTTATTCAGAGATTTTAGAGATTTTCGTTCTTTTTTCAAAAATAAAATAGCAAAGAAAGAAAATATTTTGTTCGCCATTTATATTCGTTCTTTAGCTAGCTGTTTGAAATATATTTAAATAATATTCAAAGTTGGTTGATTCTTTTATATTCCATTCTTTTTTTTTTTCTTTTTGTTTTGAAAGTTGATTTGTTACAACTATTGCAATCTTTCTTACTTGTTTTATTTGTAGCATTTTAAAATAACACATACAAAATAAAATATAAAATAAAACGGTAACAACGGCGTTTTGGTATTCAGCGTTAAAATGGCAATTTATATCGAACTATTGTGTGAAAAAAATGGCAATGAAATCGCAGATCGTATATTTTAACATTTTAACTGAATTTTTTGATAATCTTTAAACATCTTAGAAATGTTTGCTTTTCCGAAAAAACCTTTTTTTTTTTTATTTAAAAAAAATAAATTTATTTTAGCCATTTGCTGCACAGAATATTTTTTTTATGCTCTTAAAATATTCTAAAAGAAATTTTCTATCTTTATTTATTTTTTAACTTTTTATGTTTCATTTCACCATTAGTGCATTTAAAACATCAAAGAAATTTGAAGAGCTCTCAATATTTTTTTTTTTTTTTTTTTTTTTGCAGTCTTTTAAAACGATAAGATAGTTCAAATTTTTCTTATTTCTCCCTCTTTTTCTTCTTGTCTTAATTTTTGAGAGCAATAGATACTAAAAGAAAAATAAAAATCTTCCTATTCAATTTTTTTGTCTTATTCAAATCAAACGCAGACAATTCTGTGTTATTTTTTTTTTTTTTGTGTCAATTCTTCTGATTTTCGATAGATGAGTTTAAGTGGTTACAGGGATATAATATTGAATTAGCAAAACGTTTTAATGAATTTCTATAAGACGGGGAATTAAAATATTTACTTTTGTTCGATCTCGAGCATTTAAATTATTTGTAACAAATTTTACAATTATTTTATCCAATGAAAAAATTAAATGATTTAAAAATTTTTTTATTCATGTATCTGAACATTTTGATTTGATAATTTTACCAATATGTTTTCAACTCATAGTTCATGAGTTCGCTATGCTGTTGTTTCTATGAGCTCCCCGATTAGTGTTTTAGCATTTGATGTCAACAGTTATTTAACAGTGTTGTTGTTGATTAGTATTCCACTTGGTAGAGATTTATACCAAGCTCACGAACTTATATGGACTCAGTGTTGAAGGGAAAGGATGCAGCTTCTGTTGTGATATGGAACACCCGTAGGTAGAAGTCTGACTTGTCTTCGTGACGTTCTACAATCATATGAGACCGGGAGATACGGTTTAAAGTGGATTCCGAACCACTACAAACATCCAATGCCCAGCTGGAACTCGGACCCGAAACCTGGGGCGCCGAGCGTTAGACATTTGGCCATTCAGGCACATTTAACAGTGCTTCACAACCTTATTGCTAGGTGCAGTTTAATGCACCATCGATTCAACTATCAGGATAGGAAAGATTTTATAGCAGTTTTTTAAGCAGTTATTTAACAGTGCTTTACAGTTTTGAGGCTAGGGGAAGATTAATGTCCTTCGATCTAACTCTTCGGGTAGCAAGAATTTGATATTAGCAGTTGATTTTAACCACAGATAAAGAATTAAATTCTTTAATAGGGAAAAGTTATTTAGTATTAAAAAAAAATTACCTTGCAAAGTGATGAAATCACACCTCTTATATTTTAACAATTTATCTGAATCTTTTGATAATATCTAAACATCTTAGAAATGCTTGCTTTCCGAAAAAAAAAAAAAATTTAAAAAAAAAATTATTTTTAGTCTTTCTCTGAATATTTTTAGAGGAATTTTTTTTAGACGAATATTTTTTTATACTCTTAAAATATTCTAAAAGAAATTTTTCTATATTTATTTATTTTTTTACTTTTATGTTTCATTTCATCATTAATGCATTTAAAACATCAAAGAAATTTGAAGAGCACTCGATATTTTTTTTTTTTTTTTTTTTGCAGTCTTTTAAAGCGACAAGATGGTTCAAATTTTTCTTATTTCTCCCTCTTTTTTTTTTCTTGAGTCTTAATTTTTAAGAGCAATAGATATTAAAAGAAAAATAAAATTTTCCTTGATTCAGTTTTTTTATCTTATTCAAATCAAACACAGACAATTCTGAGCTTTTTTTCTTTTTCTGTGTCAGTTTTTCTGATTTTCGATAGATGATATTAAGTGTTTACAGTTGCAGGGTTATAATATAAAATTAACAAAACGTTTTGGATGTTGGCAAACGTTTTAATGAATTTCTGAAAGACGGGGATTTAAAATATTTACTTTTCTTTGGTCTCGAACATTTAAGTTCTTTGTAACATATTTTACAAGTATTTAATCCAATAAAATAATTAAATTGTTTAATTTTTTTATTATTCACATTTCTGAACATTTTGATTAGATAATTTTTATCAGTATGTTTCCAACTCATAGTTCATTCCTGCTCAGTTTTAGCGATTGATTTTAACGGTGCTTCACAACCATAGCGTTAGGTGGAGTTTAATACAAGTCTGTTCAAATGTCCAGTTAGGGAAGATTTTTTAGCAGTTGATTTCAACAATTATTTAACAGCGCTCCACGACCTCTGCGCTATGTGGTGTTTAATCTTTGTGGTAAGTAATCTATAAACTCTTCGGATAGGAAATACATTTTTAGCAGTTGATTTTAACAATTTAGCAGTGGTTCCCAGACTAGTTAAACCCCTAAACAGTTATTTAACAGTAGTTCCCTTCCTGGAGCTAGGTGGAGTTTTATGCCTGCCGATACAACTATCAGGATGCTAGATGGAGTTTAACACTAGATGGAATTTAACTCATCAATTCAATTATCTGGATAGGGAAGATTTTGTAGCAGTTGATTTTATCAGTTATTTAACAGTGCTTTACAACCATATAACTTTAGATGAAGTTTAACGCACGTCGATTCAAATCCAGATAGAAAGAGTTTTTAACAGTTGATTTCAGCAGTTATTTAACGGTACTTTACAGCCTTTGGTAGGTGCAGTTTAATGCCAGTCAATTCCACTTTTCCAATAGTAAGGATTTGATATTAGCAATTGATTTTAACGATAGTTAAAGAATTAAATTCTTTAGTAGGCAACAGTTGTATGTGAATTAAATGTAACTCTATTTAAACACAAATCTCACACCTTGCTTGTTATTTTTTAACTCCGCTTAAATTTAACATGTTTAATACTAAAAACATTTTGTTGAATATTTACAACATTTATTGCTTGTTTTTTTTTTTTTTTTTTTTTTTTTTTTTTGTATTTTATATTTTTTAATTGTTTTTGCATAATGCAATTAGAGATACATAATACTATATATATTTTTCAAATGAAATTGATTTATGATGATATCGTATGATATTTTTTTGTAATATATCATTTAAGATGATATCATATCGGTTTGCGATGATATATAAAACATGATACATTTTCAAGTTCCCTCTTTTATTTGATATTGCCATAATATTCGCTATATCAATGATCAGTGTATATATATCAAGAGACAAAATAAGATTTGAATTAAGTGAATTCCAGTCACTTTTATAAACAACTGCCTTCCATTTGAATGTAACACAGTAGAAAACCTGAAAGCTAAATAATTATATGATAATAATAATAATAATTGTAAAAAATTATAGTAAAATAATACAACCAAATTAACTGGAAAAAGCACACTGACAGAAGTTTATATATCCAATAAAAAATAAGGTTTTGAATAATTGTTTTTTTTTTTCTTGTTCCACTTGTTAGACAGCAATAACTAGACCAAGTCCAAGAACCCGCGTGGTCCCATGGAAGGAGGGCAGCTTCTGTTGTAATGGAGCACCAGTAGGTAGAAGTCTGGGTCTTTTTACTGGGTATGGTTGTTAGCCCAACGTCAGGCTCTCTATAGTCATATTAAACCGGGACCTACGGTTTATAGTGGATTAGTTACAAGATTAGTTTTATCAAGAAACAAAATAAATTTTGAAATAATTGAATTCCTTCTAATAACTTATTTGAACAACTGTCTCCCATTTGAATGTTACATGATAGAAAATCTTGAAATCTACCACCAGACAGCTAGAGGGCCGATGCGAAACGTTTATTCATGAAGCAGCAATCCCCATCGAGTCTCCTTGCTTTTAAAAAAGTGACTGGAACAAACACTGCTAGTGAAATGTCCCAAACCCAAGCTAAGAGTTAGCATTATTTATTTATAATTACATAGATTTATTAATTAAATTAATTATTATTTTACAATTAGAGAGCCGAGAAATTTATTTTAAAAGAATTTTTTGAATTTTTTTACACCACATAAATAAATCTAAAATCTGATTATCTAAATTTAAAGGGTGAAAACAGTGTTATGTTAATTTCTAAATGAATGTGAAAGTTAAGAATTTTTTTTTCGTTCCTTCACAGGATGGATTAACAAGATTACTCGTTAATATTTAGTTGTTAATTACTAGTTAAATGCTAGTTTCCTTTTCTTTAGTTGGAATTAATGAGCTTTGCAAAGTTGGAGAGTCATAAAATTAATTTGGCACTTAAAAAGGAAAAAGTAATTGCTTCTTTCATATAAGAAAGGTGATAAAAAAATATTTATGTAGAATTACTGCGATGATTTCTATGAAAAAAAAAAGGAAAGCGCATATAAAAAATAAAGAAAAACTGCCTGATTATAATTCAGCTGAAGTAATGTGAATGCAAATAAAAAAATGTATTTTCAAGCCCACGAGCCCATACGTACTCATGATTAAAAGGGGAAAGAAGCTTCTTCTGTTGTGAAAGCACCCGTTCTGATGAACGCTCTTACAGTCATAGGAGACCGTGACCTACGGCTTAAAGTGGATTGAAAACAAACATTTATGGCACCGCCGGATTCGAACCCGAAACCTGTGGCACCGAGCGTGATGACTCGGCGGCCATTCAGGTCCCAAATGAATGCCAACGGCACGTGGTGTTCCCAGGTCACCCACCCAAGTACTGACCGCGCCCAATGATGCTTGACTTCGGTGATCTAAAGAATATATTGACATTATGGCCGTTGGCTTGTATGTATTACCATAGCCGTTGGTATAAAAAATGTTCATATTTCTGAAAACGAATATTGTAATGAACGAATATCATTCCATTTTGCAGGCGATAGAAAAAAATTTATTGCAATTTTCTTGTATGTATTTTTATATTTCATACTTATTGTTTTGTTTATTTTCTGATTTTGCTGATAGAATAGAGTCACAAGTTTTTCTGTTTAAATTTTATTGTGGGAGTTAGAAGTGGTAGATGACCTCAGTAAACATAAAACTAAAATAAATCGAAACTCAGTAAAACATTAATCCCTAAATAAAAAATAGTTCTAAATTTTTTGACATTGTTTGTTTAATCCATTTATAGAGTGAAGAAACATTGTAAAAATTATGGAGATATTTATAGATTAAAAAAAAAACAATGTGATTATTTAAACAATGTAATCTATTTCTAGACATTTAACGTAGAATAAGGTTCTCTTTAACATGTTACAAAATTAATGCTGGAATAATAGAAACTGTAGAGCTGAATAGAATAATAGAAAATTAACCCCCAAACATCGTGGAATTGCTCTATATTTGCAATATATGTTCGAAAGTGCCTAGCATGCAAAAGGAATTAGGTTCGAAACTCTTGGTGGCGTTCATTACAGCCATTACTTTATAAAATGAAAAGACTCGATGGGGATTGCTGCAATGTGTATAACGCAGGGTCTCCAAATTACGGCCCGCGGGCTAAATCCGGCCCGCCAGTGTCATCAATCCGGCCCGCGACAGCTAATAGCTTATTGTTGCTGTAATAAGTTGGATGAAAAAACACAGAATGAAAATAACTCGGTTTTACTTACTTGCTAGGTAAAGCTTGATGGCAAGCATAATACGCAGAAGCATAACAACTAACAAATAATTGAAATGAATCCCGCTAACATTATAAACTAGTGAACATCCCGCGGTTACCCTCGGTAGTTATGTTGGCGTAAAAGTATCGCATATGTATGTATATCGATGTTTGGAATGTACACTCAAGAGCCAAAACATTATGACCACCTGTCAATAACACCTATATCTCCAGCCAGTTAAATACCACTTCCACCTGGCGTGTTCATTCCAGGCGAGTTCATTGCAAAAATGTAGGAGTGGTCATAATGTTTTGGCTCTTGAGTCTATATATCCTGAATCAAACACATGATTTTTTACCCTGAAAATCCCCCAGGAACGGAAAAGCGGAAAAGCTAAATTAATGCGAATGAAACCGTGGTGTATCCACTTGCAAAAATACTAATGAGATTTATATAATTGTGATTTTTCAGTTTGATAGTAGTTTGTAGTTAGCAAGCGTATGGTCGCTCAGAGCGCGTACTCGGGACGACTGGTCTAGAAATTACAGATAATGGCCGAAAAATTAAAACGGTTTCGGCCCTTAGTACTTATTGGAGTAAACAGTATGACCCTAAGGCTGGAAAGTGCGGAGACCACTGGTATAAAGCATACATGTATATTCGTCAATTGTCAGGCTGCTTGGTGGGACTTTACACTTTTTTCTTCCGTAAGACACTTAAATTATGGCTAAAAACCCTAAAAAGTCCCGTATCATCATCTATTAGTGGATTGTTCCGGCATATATTTGTGAAGGTTCACGAATGTTCAAGTATAGTACGCTAAACGTAACGATTTTGGTTATGCTGAATCTGTTACAGATCTACCTTTCTAATTGTAATTGACCTCATGTAAAATTATCAAGCCTTTTTAAAACAGCAATATATAATAAGGATTATGTATACAATAACCCTCACAAAATTACAATTTCGTCAATATTTTCTTATTGTATTTGTTGTTGGTATTATTACAGTACATACGATACAGAATCGTTTTATTTATTCACTATTTTTTGTTATTTATTCATTAAAATATTATGAGTAAGAAACAATATAGTATAGTCAATTTCATAAGCTGCATCAAGACATACAAGATCGAGCTAAGCATGCTACAACTCTTACAAAATTATAATTTTGTCATGATTTTCTGTCTGTATTTTTTATTATGCAATTAAGATATTATGTGCAACAATAATAAATAATAAATTTCATGAGCTTCATCAAGTGTAAACGGAGTGGTCTTAATATACTTTCGATCACAAAAATTACAATTTTGTAATGTCTTTCTAATATTTATTTCACAATACGATTGTGCAAATTAATGTTATCTAGATCAATTCCAATAATTAATTTTATTTTGTTTTTCCATTAATTCGAATATTTTTAATTTTAAAATATTAAAAACATATTGTTGCTTATATTAAAAATTTTTTATTACTTGCATTTCTTTTGAATATATTTTTTTGTGAAAAACGTCATCGATATTTTCATGAGATGCATAATCATAAATGACGCATATAACAGGTTGGTTGAAAAGTTCGTAGGCTGACACATAGATGACGCTACTAGTATTAAATCCATATAAAATTTATTTAGCCCTAACCTTCAAAAGACACGTGCATAAATTTGACAGCTGTTGCGCTATTAGTATGTGAGTTATAGCATTTTTAGTGAAGTTATAGCATTTTTAGTGTTCATCACATGCAGTCCACTCGGCTGACTGTCGATTGGACTCCGGTGTGAAATGATGGAGCCATGTTTCATCCATTGTCACATATAGACACAAAAATTCGGGTTTATTACGATTGAACAGCTCCAAACACTGCTTAGAATCATCAATCCGTTGTTGTTTTTGGGTCGGTTGTGAGCTCGCGCGGCACCCACTTTGAACAGAGCTTTCGCATATCCAAATATTCCATCACGATATGTCCAACACGTTCCTTTGATATCTTTAGGGTCTCAATCAACTTCACTTTGCGGTTATCATAAATTATTTTGTGGACTTTTTGATGTTTTCGTCGTTAACAGCCTCTTTGGGGCGTCCACTGCGTGCATCGTCGTCGGTGCTCATTTTGCCTCGTTTAAATTTAGCAAACCACTTCTCTACGGTTGATTTTCCTGGTGAAAAGTCCGAATAATGTTTATCAAGCCAAGCCTTGGCTTCAATAGTATTTTTTTTTTTTGCCAAAAAGCAATGCTTTATTAGCACAGGAAAATTCCTTTTTATCCATTTTTAAACACTAACAAAAGTTGCTTCACTAAAAATGCTATAGCTCACATACGAATAGTGAACAGCTGTCAAATTTATAAACGTGTCTTTTGAAGGTTAGGGCTAACTAAAAATCATATGGATTTAATACTAGTAGCGCCATCTATGTGTCAGCCTATGAACATTTCAGTCCACCTGTTATGACTATAGATAAAAGATATATATCGCAAGATGACTAAATATAATTTTTTTAAAGCATGGACTAAAACATTCCATGTATAACCTAAACCTCTGGCACGAGACTTATAGATACATGTAAAAATAGACTGAAAACAAAAAACAAAAAAAATAAAATCACTAAAGTCAATTTCAAATGAACTTATAGTAAGTTATTAACCTTTGATGCCCTTTTCTCGATAAGAGATTTGTGACATCTCAGAATTGAAGTAAACTTACACTAATACCTCAATTATTTCAGAAACCCATTAGAGTTGTCACTCATGTGGTATTTTGAGGTGAAACCAGGATCCCGTTTTGACCGTAGAGGTCAAAGCGAAAGCTTAGAATTTCGTTAGCAAGGAAATTTGAGAAGTCAAGCCAAATTCATACTTAATGACTTGCAAGTATTGTAGAAATTAAGGCTTAATGAGATGTAGTTATTTTAATCATAAGAGCTTAGTGAATAACAATCTTTCAAAAAGAAAAAAAAAAATTTGATACAGTAATTAAATTTGGTAAATTTAATTTTAGAAGGTTTGTTATTTTGACAATTCCCAAATTAAGTGAAAAAAATATTAAAAATTGTTACTTAGCATTGAATCAACTAAGTATAATTAGTTGAATATTCGATTATTTTAATTAAATAACTGTAACAGAGTCCGTCAACTATGATCGAAAAAAAATATTGTTTTTTATTAATATAAATAGGTAATATTTTGCACAACGTTATTTATTAGATGGTTTTTGATAATCTGTGTAGAAAAATAGTTAAATGAATTTAAGAACAACTGTATTTTATAATGGAATAAGAAGATGTTCTAAAACTACGAAGAATGTAATTGCAGATGCAGGGAAGAATACAAAAGAAAGAAATGGCAGATACAGAATTCTGGGAGAAGAATATTATGATATATTTATAGAATAATGTAAGGTGCAATTTTATGACAAATACACAGAAGAATATAAATAATGCAATGACAGATACACAAAAGAATATATAGAACACAACGGCAAATGCAAAGAATATGCTGAAATATAATGGCAATTATAGAAAAGAATATAATGGACACACACACACACCACACACACATATATATATATATATAATATATATAAATTAGATATGTATGCTTATATATTTGTGCATGTCTATGTATGTTCGTGCGCATGTACCTTTATGCATGTGTATTAACAGATGTGCTTGGGCACATATGTATGTGACGTATATGTATGTCTTTGAAACGTATGTATCTGCCCTCGTGTATGCATGTGTGTGTGTGTACATATAAGCATGCGTATGCATTTGTGTTCGTGCATGTGTCCACGTGTGTTTCTATGTATAATGTGATGTGTATGTATATGTATGTGCATTAGATGGGCATATGTATATATTTCTTTATAAACATATGTATAGCATCATAAATAAAAGCCTAATTTTAAGTAGGGGAACTTGATTTGCAAAAAATGAATTTGGTTTGCCAAAAAGGTGAAATTCATTTACAAAATGAAGAATTCGATTTGAAAAATGTGAATTTGGATGGCCAAACCAGTAATAAATTATATTTTGATTTTCTAGTGATGAAAAAAAAAAAAAAAGCTTAAATAAAAGATTTTTGTCTTAATAGTAATTTGTTATTTTTTAGAATATATTTCTTAGAAGATTATAAAATGTAAGATGTTAAGAAAAAAGATT